ATAAAACAGTGTAAAGGGTGAGGAACTCCAGGACTGTAGAATTGTAGCACAAATTGATAAGTATGGAAAGATAATTTAGGCTTTAAGTTTTAAATTCTCACCTCAAGGCATAGTCTAAAAACTAGAAAAATTTCAGTTTTTGCTCAAAGAATCTCTTTTACTAACTCTGAGGCTGAAATAATTGGAAACTAAGGTGATATTTAATCTTGCCAAATTGTACCCTCAATTTAATTTACATTCATTCCAAGCCTCTTATGTAAAAGTGAGTGTTAACTAAGAAACAGTAAGGCTTTGACTTGGGATGGGGGATTATGGATAGGAGATTTAGAGGACACATAATGTCTTCCTTCCTTCCTCCCTTCCCTCCTTCCTTGTCTTTTTCTTTCTTCTTTCTTTCTTCTTCTTGCCAGATGTTGCAGGTGTAAGCCAGAGAGAGAGAGAGAGAGAGCATCCCCCAGTGGCTCCTGATCATACTCCGATCTCCTCTCCATTTCTTCTCCATCAGGATCCTGACTCAATATCCCCCAAACTGTTGGCCTGGACTTGAACCAGTCAACCATGTGGGATCCAACACCCTCCACACAGCACCCAACCACTGTGCTATAGGATAGCCCACAATTCTATTAACTAGGAGAGCAATAGTACCATTTCGACCACTGAAAGTCCTATGTCCCAGGAAACTCCCTAATCTCAGGCAAACCAGGAGAGTTGACATGTCCTCCTTTGCTTTCTGTCTAAAAAGGTTATTGCTGTCTTGTTTAAAGGTCCATAATGACCTCACCTTAGGTGATAGTTACCTTCTAAAGAGAAACTTAATAATCTACTTCATGCCTTTCTCACATTGCTTCTCATTATTTGTCACAAAACCAGATTCCACCTTGGAGAGGAGTTGGTTGTGGACACAAAACAAACCAAGGAAGAGAACACACATGACAAAAAAATGCTAGACTTTGCTCACATATATTGGCACAAATCTGAGGGGGAAATGTGTGGGGTTCTGTGGATGTTACATTGAAGAAAGAGAAATGTAATTGTGGATTGGGCAGAACTGATTGACAGGGGCACTTGCCTCAGATTCTGGACTCAGTATGCTATCTTGAGCAGCTGGAAGTGATTCTATTTATTGGTTCAATTAGTTGAATGAAACATGGGTTTAATAATAACCTGCATTAAATGAAACTGAGAATGAAACTGCAAACATTCCTTAAAATAATGAAGAGAAATTGGGACCAGCAGTTGGCATAATGGCTATGTCGCTGGACTCCCATGTAGTTGGCCATGGTTCAAGTGCTGGACCCTGTGGCTTAAACTCACATGGGCTGCATGTGTGTGCATGCTCGCCCAAGATCCTGAGAGGAGAATGGAGGAGAAGGGATTGTGGCATGGTCATCACCCCTGGGGGGTGATTTCTCACTTTCTGTCTCTTTGTCTCTGTCTTTCTGGTAAGCACACATGCCCTATAGCAAAATCCTCTCCAAAAAAAAAGAAAGAAAGAAATTAAGAGATTTACAGAGATGGGGATGGATGTTGGAGTGGGTTTGTTGTGTGCATCTGACCATCCTAATCCTAAACCTAAATCACCAACTAAGTCTTCTGAGAGGATCTACCAGTGATCTTTTTTTTCACTAAGGCCTTGAGAAATTGGTGAGGGAAAATGCCAGCATTCGCAAAGAGCATTTTAATAACTCTTCTCTAAGCTGCAAAGGTTTGTAGGAAATGCTGTGGTTAAAATAGATTCTCTATTTCAATGGATAAGAATTTGAAGGTTGGTAGAGGCTTAACAGTGTTTTGAAGCAATTAACAACTGAGACAAGGTAGAAACAGTTATACAATCCAGGCTGATTTAGTGTAATAAGTATAGTAAGGCCTACAGAAATTATGACGCTAGATAGTTAATCACAAGGCCACATGGCCTTAAATGATGTTCAAAAATTAACAAGGCAGGGAACCAGCAGTTGGCGTAATGGCTATGTCGCTGGACTCCCACGTAGTCGACCGTGGTTCGTGTCCCGGACCCGGTGGCTTAAATCTCACGCCAGGCGCGTGTGCGTGCGTGACCAAGATCCCGAGAGAAGAATGGAGGAGAAGGGATTGCGGCATGACCATCCCCCCGGGGGGCGATTTCTCACTTTCTGTCTCTATGTCTCTGTCTGTCTGGCGAGCGCACGCGCCCTATAGCAAAAACCTCTCCAAAAAAAAGAAAAAAATTTAACAAGGCACCATAGATACCGATCAAGAAAAATGAATGTTGCAAACCCTGCTACAGCTACATAGCAGCCCAAGTAAGGACCCAATATATGGGGGAATCCATTCGGGTCTTACTTAATATGTTTAAGAACAGCAGAAAAGTCTGACTGGAGTCACCAAGACAGAGTATCACAAAACTGCCACACACAGATGAGTGGAAGATCCCTAAGATGAAGAACTCTAACAATGCCCTATGTTTCCAAACTCTTCTTATGAGGCTCTCAATTACTAGAAAAACAATACACTGCAGAATGGAAACTGCTAGGCCTTTTGGAATTCACCTAGGAACAGCATGGAATATAATTTTACAGGGGTTCCAAAACCCTTGTGGTCTGTAGGACAAAGTACATGCTATAGAAATGAATCCATCCTCGGGAACCAGCAGTTAGCGTAATGGCTATGTCGCTGGACTCCCACGTGGTCGACCGCGGTTCGTGTCCCGGACCCGGTGGATTAAAAACTCATGCTGGGCGCATGTGCATGTGTGCCCAAGATCCCAAGAGGAGAATGGAGGAGAAGGGATTGCGGTGTGACCATCCCCCCTGGGGGGTGATTTCTCGCTTTCTGTCTCTAATGTCTCTGTCTGTCGGGCGAGCGCATGTGCCCTATAGCAAAAATCTCTCCAAAAAAAAAAAAAAGAAAGAAATGAATACATCCTCCAGTTTTTCATCTTGAAGAGTTTATCTTCTATGGCAGTCTCCCTAAATTGGATCCCTTATCCATAAATAGAGAACTGTTCTTGCAAGAAGTACTAAGAGATCTGCAGAGGTAAGTCCCACCATCAAAAGCTTTTTTGAAAGTATGAGTATGTTTCTTATCACATATCGACTTAATATGATCTTTGGCATAACCAGGCAGATACAGATGGATCTCTAAGAATGACTACACATACTCATAAATTTAATCAGATGGTGATTCCAACTGCAGCAATTATCAAGACAGGTTCTGCTTCTTGGAGAAAATCCATAGGTAGCTATGGGTGTAGTCGATGTTTTTTGTTTTTCCTCTATTGCAGTAAGTAGAGAGCACTTGAGGCAGGTTGTTCTGTCAGTAAGCAGCAGTACAAATTGTCCCACTTCAGTTCCCTGTGACTCTGCGTCAGAACATCATTCTTACTACGACTTTGACCATCTTACCATTGTAGAGGACACTGTGCTGGTCCCATGCATTGGCAAGAATGTGCTGCCAGGACCTAGAATGCAAGCAGCATTATGTAGTCTAGATGGCTGGTAAGACAGATCAGACCAGACCAGTGATAGATCCCAGGAAAGCACAAGAGCCTCACCTGTTTTATGGGGGACAAGTGTATAGTGCATATTGGGATGTCCCTCCATGGTGTCTGCATCCTAGACAGAGTTAACACCAGAAGACACTGTTTTGTCAGAAGTTCTGTAACCTCAGCACAGCACTGTTTGGTATCTAATGGGATATGTCACAAAATGGAGAGTGAGATATTACTCTCATGTTACTAAATCCCAGCACCCAGCTTGGGCATCCTCAGGGGACTAGGACATAAGTGAAGTGCCTGGGACTCAGAAGAAGAATAGAATGCTTCCCGGGAAAGGGCAGCAGTAACTTGGGACAAAAGGAGAGCCTGTGGAAACAGGGAAGGATGCTGACTCTGCTCACACCATCTCTTGGCACTTGTGACTCCCAGGACATCTTGGGGAGGGAGGGATACCCTGTATTAAAAAGACTTGGCAAGAGCTACTTAAATAGGGAGTTTTATCATTAAATTCATATTGAAGTTTTCAGAAGGGATGGTAGCAACATCACCAAAATGCAGAATTTGATTCCCCCCCCATTTGGTGATGTAGTCATGCATACTGGCTCCCTCAACATCTCTTGACCAAGTCTAATGCACATTGGTAGATAGGCAAAGGTTGGATGATAACCAGGGGAACATTTTATAGGCAAGAAATCATGTTGTGTTTTTTTGTTTTTGGTTTCTTTATGTGGCTAAGAATTGAACTAAAATATCTTTCCCAGTTTATTTACATAGACAAGCAATTTGACCTTTTCAACAGGATTAGTTCACTTCAAGAAAGTAAGGTTGTTGTATATACCTGGAGACATCTGTTATTCAACTTATTTTTTTGAGTGGGTGTTTGGCAAAATGAGAATAAACTTGTGTAGCCCACTTGAATGACTGATCTAATAACGTTGATGTTATGAATCCTGTGCTTAGTGAAATGTCAGATGAAAATAACTGATGACTGACTTTTGTATCAAAGAAAAGAACACATGAGTTTGTTAATAAAGCACCACAATCTGCAAAAGATGGAATGTTTCATAGAGATATAAAGAAATAAAGAACATTTTAAAACAAAAAAAAACCCCAGAGAATTGAACTAAAATATTGACATCATTATCACTAAAATTACTAACCAGCTGATTTAAAGACACAAGAATACGTAGCATTATGTGTCATTGCCATTACTCTTGAGACTTCATTACTGATTTCTTTGCTATTACTGTTAAGATCTAGTTTCATTAAAACACTCCAAATAAAGACTTTAACTTGAAGTAAAAAAACAAAGTGCTTTGTTTAAATAAAGGCCTTTCCCTTCGTTCTTTTTAAACTTGCTTTAGAATTCACTTCTAGTAACGAAAGAAAAGTTGATGTGTCACCTATGTGCTAGCATCATGAAAAGGACAAATGTTATTCATATTTATGAATTCATTGCTGCATTTTGATTTTTAATGTTAACTGTAGGTGTTGGACTCCTCTTTAATTGAATCAGCTTTACTGGTTAAGTGGACTGTTTTTATTAATTTACAATGAAATAGTTTTCTGGTGACTTGACACAATAACTTAAAACATCGCAGTTGCACTGTTACAGAGTAAAAAGGACTGTTTATTTCATTCCAGTTGAAATTCTTGCCAGATGAAAATTCTGGAGCTAGGTTTCCCACCTGCGATGCTACACAGCCACCAGCCTTGTCACTTTGGTCTTATTAACAGAAATACTGAACCAGTGAAATTACAAGCATAGGCCTCCTAGCTTCCTAGGACTCTAAACTTTTGCTTTCAATCCCAAATAAAATCTGAAAAACATGCTCACTTTTGTGTCTTTTGAGAAATTCTAAGAACTGGCCCAGATTCATGTGATAGTCATTCCTTAATCCATAGTCACCATGGGCCTCAAGGAGTAATTCTTCAAAAGAGTGGAAAAGGCGCAGGTCCTTGCCATCTCCTTCTGTCTCCACACTCTCTGTGTGCTTACAGGAAATGTGTTTCCAATTGGGGTACCTAATCGTGTGCCAGAACTCCTCACAGTGCTCTTTGAAGCCCTCTACACAGATAATGCCAGGCTTTCCTGTCATGCAAAACCCAGTCACGTCTAACCTTTTTCCAACGTCCAAAATCTTTTTCCGTAGGTCCTGCTGGTATATATGGTGGCTATAGATCCACATTCGGAGAAAAGTGTTCTTCACTGGCTTTGGTTGTGTAGATGGTTCATATGTGAGCCTTCTGTTCAGGAAATAGGATGCACTGTTGTCCTGTAGCCACTGCACTGCTGCACACACACACAGTTCACCTGGATCAAAAGTCCCAATGTAAGAAGTGAGACCTTTGTTGAGAAGTAGCTGCTGTTGTCTGTCAAGCTCAGATGACCGTCCAAACAGCTGCAATGCTACATAGGGGTAGCTGTGTGGCATTGTTACTTGCAAATCGATTTTCACCTTAAAATGAAAATCAAATAAATTTAAAAACCATAAAGTTACATAAACTAAAAAATCAGTAGAAATTGCATGATTTTGATAAATGAACTATTAATAGTTATTGCTATGATGGTCAGCCGTGTCCCAAGTATTTTTACATATACTATTCCTTCCATTTATGTATTTATCATTTCAAGTATTTATTAACTACCAGGTGTGCCAGATGCCCTCTGTTGAGATAAACAAGCAGTCAGACACTATTTCTGCCTTTCATGAAGAGTACAGCCTGATTAAGGAAACACACATTAAACAAATAATTACACACAGCAACTATTTAATTTCAATTGAAGAGTTACAATGGAAAAGTTGAGGGTTCCACTGAAGTTTAAATAGCAGGACAGAATCCACCAGGAAGTCTCTTATGGGGCAATGAGCACCAAAGGATGAGTAGGAAATAGCTAAAATAGTGGTTCTCAAACACCCAGTCCATGTCTTACCATGCCATGCTAATAATTGTGGAGACTGATGAGAAGATGCAAGTAAATTCATTTTTAGTGTTTAGATTTTGAACCTGTATTTACTTGTTGGGTTATGGGGACATCAAAAAACAAAAACAAATAAAATTCATGCCTTAAAAGCAACTTTCACTCCTAGGGACCAGCATATGGTGTAATGGTTATGTTGCTGGACTCCCATGTAGTCAACAATGGTTCTAGTTCTGGATCCGGTGACTTAAAATTCACACCAGGTGCGTGTATGTATGTGCCCAAAATTCTGAGAGAGAACGGAGGAGAAGGGATCACAGTGTGGCCATCCCCCCTGGACAGGGAGGGGTTGGTTTCTTGCTTTCTATATGTCTTTGTCTCTCTGGTGGGCACATGCGCCCTATAGCAAAAATCTCTCTCTCAAAAAAAAAAAAAAAAAACCAACAAAAAAAAACCAACAAAAAAAACCACTTTCGCCCCTTGTAAGCCAGTTTACATACTCGCAATATTGCAATATTTAGTTTTGTGCAAATCATAGTAACCCATACTACAACAGTTAGATTGGTGAGAAAATGGATGAGTAAACAGAGTAAGGGTAGTGTAAGACTGCAAGATATTTCAATAAAAACACTAGGTTTATTTGTCAAAAAGGTGTATATATTTACATAAACTTCTTGAATATGTGCTCAAGATGATTTACAGAGAATCCTGTACTCCATATATTTTGCTTTCCTACAAATAAAGGAAATAGGCATCTGGACATTGTTATCTGAACAAGAAGGTCCAGGTGTTTTAGTTAAAATCAGGGCACCCACCTTGGGCTCCTCAATCTGGAGTGTAATCACAAATTCGATTTTGGGTGGCAGCGCTTCCCTACTGCCTTCCAAATATCTCTTTATATTCGTCAGGACATTTACATCTTCAAGTTTTACTTCCCCTCGGTTAGGAAACATAGAAAACAGCATTTCCATTTCTAAGAGCTGAAGCTGAAGACTTTCTTTCACCGAAGCGGACATGTTTCTAACTAACGTGTCCAGAAAGCTGGAAAGGCCTGGGTTTGTCAGTGTCAGGCGGTGTCTGGCGAAATTTCCTGGAGGTGCCTTTATATGGAAGCAGTTCTGCAGGAACGCTTTGAACAGAGAGCTAGGGGCACAAACCGGGACTCTTACACTGCTGCTTCATCTCCTGATCCCCAAATCTAGTATGCACATACCTTCCTAAAATAATCCGTTAAAATCCAGATTCCTTGTCCTGGCTCCCTCAGATCTTGATCTGTATAGATCCGGGAAGCTGCACTTTGAACAGGAGTTCCGAATGATTTCTTTTTGAGGTGGCAAAGAACACCGGCAATCCACAAGCCTGACTTTTGGGAACTGCAGGGTCCAGCTTCTGAATCGCACCGTGTCTCAGGCTTCTACCCATCTAGACGCGGCGGTGAGGGAGGCCGGCATGGCCGGTGGGGTCGCCAGGGCCAAGTCGCCACCTCGTGGCCTCGGTGTGGTGGGGTGAGCTTGGTGTAAGATCCCAGGCTTCCTTTCAATTTGGAGTCAACCGGCCTCCGCCGCGAGGGCACAGGCTGAGGGCGGGAGAGAGGGGTCCTACAGGTAAATAAATGACCTTCAGTGCGAGCTGGGGACAAGCTGGCAGCCAGTGAAAGCCTCCTGGATTCAAAGACTTGGGAGATGGCCTCGACAACGGAGAGGGAGAATGCGGGAAGCCGAGAGGCGTTGGCTGTGGCCGAGGTTACCTTGTCAGGACCCAATCGGGACCACTTCACCCCCACTTTCACCCTCACCCGCCCACCCCCATCCAACTATGAACTTGGACTTCCCAGACACTCAGGGCCTTCCTCCCAGCGAGGTCCAGATACCGAGGCCGAGGCTGCGTATCCGCAGGCTCTAGGTGCCTGCGACCCTCGGCCCCAACCCCGGGGCCACCGCGGGGGCCTCACCCTTCCTGGTCACTCAATGGAAACAGCCCTAGAGCCGGCTCGGAACCGCATCTGCAGTTCCGCAGGCTCTAGCTGCGCGTGACCGGCAGGGCGGTGGGGGCGGGGCTAAGAGTCAGTCCCCCACCCTGATTGGCTGAGGGGTGTGACCACGGGCCGGAAGCCACGCAGGGCCACGTATGCGGGTTCTAAGCGCTCCAGTCTGGCTGTGGGCGTCGCCTCGAGGGCGCTGCTACGCGGGTGGAGTGGACGCGGAGTCTCCTAGCAAAGGTAAGAGGGCCTGAGGCTTGGAAGCGAGAAGTTCCGGTCTGTAGGGGTTCGGTGGAAGCCGGGCGGGCAGAGTCCTCGGCCTGTCTTGCGGGCCGACCAGCCGACTGACCGCGCGCCGGACTCACCTGTCGGTCTCTGCGCCCTGGGAGCGGGCTGGTCCACCTGCCGAGGCTCCTGTGCCTGGGCTCTCGGCCACTCGCCTGGGTGGGGACTTTCTGAAAGGGTGCCGGGAATCGTGCGGCCACTCTGGGGCTAGGAGGAGGAAAGAGTAACGAGGTTGGCTGGAAACTGGAATGGAGAGAAGGGGATCCTCTTTCAACATTTTAAAAATGTTTTGCAGTGGACACTCTGTGAACTTGGAAAAGTATTCGCAAACTCATTAAAAGTAGTTTTAGGACCAAAAACGCATTAAAGAGTGGAAGCATTTATCTTGACTTTTTTTGGGGGGGGTTCCCCTATAGGGCGCGTGCGTTCGCCAGACAGACAGAGACATAGAGACAGAAAGGAAGAAATCACCCCCCCGGGGGGATGGTCACGCCGCAATCCCTTCTCCTTCCTCCATTCTCCTCTTGGGATCTTGGGCACGCACGCACCCGGCGTAAGTTTTACGCCACCGGGTCCGGGACGCGAACCGCAGTCGACCACGTGGGAGTTCAGCGACATAGCCATTACGCGAACTGCTGGTTCCCTTGACTTGACTTTTTAAGAAGACTTTCTGGATTTAATAGGACTGTTTTTTTGCCTTTTTGGGTAAGCTTGGTACAGTACTGACTGGTCAGTTTTTACAAGAATGTATTTATCCTTGTGAAAGATTTGATCACTTTGACCCGAAGTAAATTAACTTGCTCAATGCCAACTTTTTCTAACTGGGCAAGAACAAACATTTTCATCATTTCTTTAATTTTTGTTCATTGACGTAATGATGGAAAGTAGAAGATTGTGAAGCTGTGGGATTGTGCTTGTCTCTCTCTGGGCTAATTTGGAATGAATGAATTCAGGGAAGTGCAAAGTATTTATGGGCCACTGAGTGTACTGCTGACTGAGGTCGGAAACTGAGAGTTCTGTTTATTTGTAATATTCTAGAAAAGGGAGTATTAGTGGCCTAAGGGCCGCTGAAGTTAAGAGTTTTAAAATTAAGGGAACCAGCAGTTAGCGCAATGGCTATGTCGCTGGACTCCCACATAGTCGACCGCGGTTCGCGTCCTGGACCCGGTGGCTTAAAACTCACACCGGGCGCGTGTGCGTGCATGCCCAAGATCCCGAGAGGAGAATGGAGGAGAAGGGATTGCAGCGTGACCATCCCCCCTAGGGGGGTGATTTCTCGCTTTCTGTCTCTATGTCTCTGTCTGTCTGGCGAGCGCACGTGCCCTATAGCGAAAACCTCTCAAAAAAAAATTAATAGTAAAAGGTATTATTACTTAGGAAGACAGTGTTGGTCATTTCAGAGCTTAACTTCAAAGGATATCCTGATTTTCCTTACAAAGATGGAAAAACTCCCTGTAAGGCGTATTAGGAGGTAAGGACAGTCTTGGAGTGGAAACTCTTGCCCTTTGCTTTTCCTTTGGGAATATGTCTGTAGAGTCTGGGAGGAATAGTGAAAGAACCACATAGATTTCCCAGAAATTCTGAGAGTTCACTTGAGAATCTGATTTTAGGCCTCAGTTGTCTGCTACAAGCTACTCACTTTGACTTAGTTTTCCCTCTCATAAAATAAGATGACCTTTGATCTTGTAGGAGTTTCTGAGTCTAGGTAGAAAATCTTCATTTTAGTTGAGAGTGAACCATTTTAAGTGGATCATTTAAGGCCTTTGTGTCCTAGAATAGTCCTACAGCCAGAATAGGCGATGAGCTGGGAACAAACAGTCTGATTTCTGCCCTGAACCTGCCCTGCAGAGGACTGAACAGGTTGGACAAGCTGTTCTAGATAATTCTGATCCTCAGGGCTCTCTTCTTTGCCCTTTCAAACATGTGGTTCTTTGGGAATTTCAGAATGTGACATACCTATTAGGTTGAAGTGGCAGGGTTTGAAGCAAATAGTCCTTGATAGGTTTCTTATTGTTCCTGAAAAATATTTCATTTTGTAGACATGGATTTAGGTGCTATTACAACACGCTCAGCATTTCATGCCAAGCCCCATGGACTTACTCTTCAATATGGGACTGCTGGATTTCGAACTAAGGCGGAAAATCTTGACCATATCATGTTCCGCATGGGATTATTAGCTGTCCTGAGGTCGAAACAGACAAAATCCACCATAGGAGTCATGGTAACGGCATCGCACAATCCTGAGGTAATTGATTTAGTGTTTGGATGAAGCAGACCTTATTTATATGACTAAGCCCCAGTGTCTGAGCAGTTTGACCCAAAGTACAAGTTGTAATTCTAGGAATGTGCCTTCTGGCTTATATGTGCCTTTGGATTTGAAACAACTTTTCAGAGAGTGGTCATTCAGTACATGACTCTTTAGAGGGTGTGGAGAGAATGAAATGAGACTGACATTGTTGGAAAGTGCCCTGTTTGAGAAGTAACAGGATGTCCTGCCAAGTTGTTTGAATTGAGATAGCATCAGTAATTAAAAGTTAGGTTAATTATGAAAACGTATGCATGATTTTCAAAACTGTGTGTGTCAAATAAAGTTACACTTGAATTTTGATTTTTCATGAACGTTTTGAATTCCCCTTGTGTATATACACCATATTCTTTACTCATTCATTTGTTGGTGGACACAAGTTATTTCTATAATTTGACTAACCTTTCAATACAGTTTAACTATTTTATATTTCCTATTGTCCACTAATAAAAGGTTTAAATAATATGTTTCTCTTTGATTGCTAGGGCATGAGCTTTTTGCCTTTGTAGCTAAATCTGCACCAAGTTGAAGCTAAGTAGGTGAAGGGTTCTAACATGTTCCTCCAGATGATGACATTGCTTGTCCAACTTCTAAATGTGTGAACACTGTAAATGTGTAAATATCTACATGTTAAAGTCACCATAATTGATTGATGAAAAGCCCTACATTTTGCTAGTTCCAGAAACTTCTGAAACAATTCTGAGCTGTTCTTTCAATTAGCATTCACTCTGTTCCATGCTTGCTTGCTTTCCAGGAATTTGAGCAGAACAGAGTTGGGAGTCTGTTTTCAGCTTCCGTGTTACCCCCTGGCTGGTACACTGGCCAGAGTGTTCTTGGAGTCCAGAGGCACGTTGAGAAGGATCTCTAGGTGCCTTCATTCTGTTCCAGTCATGCCCATGTCACTTAATTGATAGCAAGTGCACAGATGGCCTTTTTAAAAAGCCAGTGTAGGATAATCATTGTTAGGGTTAAGAATCAGACTCCATGTCTTATATCAGCACTGACACTTATTACCCATGTGATTCTAAGCAAATCAGTTTCTCTGAATCTCAGTCTTTCCAAAGTAAGATTGAATAATAGGATTGCTAATTAACATGTCATGAAAATTTAATGAGGTCATGTATATAAATATCTAATTTGGCACCTGGTGGTCTTAGGTGGTAACTGTGAAGCTCAGCCATCACTCTCTTTGGTTGGGGAACAAACAGCGTGGGATCTACTTCCTCAGCTCACCTTCATGATATTCACAGATTGCTAATTGTTTTTCTTTTAAGGAAGAGAATGGTGTAAAATTGATCGATCCTTTGGGTGAAATGTTGGCACCATCTTGGGAGGAACATGCTACCCGTTTGGCAGACGCTGAGGAACAAGATATGCAGAGAGTGCTTATTGACATCAGCGAGAAAGAAGCTGTAGATCTGCAGCAAGATGCCTTCATAGTTATTGGTAGAGATACCAGGTGACCATATGAGTTACTGGTGAAATAATTAGAAAGAACTAAGTATAGTGGAACTGCCCTGAGTGGCAAATCCACCTGCTCCACTTTCTTAGAACAGGAATTAAGTTGCCATTGCAGCTTGGGTTTTGGAGTCTGACTGTGGCTTGAACCCCAATTCTACTACTTACTTGATTTGAGCAAGTTACTTACTTTTTGGAAGCTTCGATTTCTTCATTTATAAAATGTTGATGATAAGGCCTGTCACAGGTTTTCTGTGAGGATAAAATGAAGTAATGCCTCAATATACCTACTTTCCGATATGAAAGAAGCACTTCATAAATGTCTCCCACCTTCATTTTACTGCAGGTTTATTTTATTTATTTTTTTCTCTATAAAGTAAAATCTCAATAATTTAACTCATTTTGAAAGATTTATTTTAGGGCCAGCTCTGTGGCCAGGTGGTTAAGGCAGCCAGGTTGCACATAATCTACCCTGTGGTTTGAATCCTGGACCTGGACTCTTAAACACATGCCAGGCCTATGTGTGTGTTTGCCCAAAGTCTTGAAAGGAGGGAGAAATAGAGAAGGGATTGTGGCGTGACTATTCCCCATGGGGGACGCTTTCTCTTTTCTTTCTCTCTGCCTTTGTCTTGAAAAATTCAAAAGAGAAAAGATTTCCTTTGTAATCTGTATTATTATGAGTTGAAGTATTTATATCCTTTCCCATGCTGTAGTTCACTGGGAAACGGCAATCTGTCATATCCAGCATCTTTTGCCTTTCTTCTTAAAACTTCTTTTTGTAAATAATTAGATTAAAAGTGTACTTTGAAAGAGTAGCTTTTTAAAAAAAATTCTTTAAAAAAATTTTTCTGCAAGATTGTATTTTACCTGGGAATTCTTTCAAAAGGAAATCTTTACTTAAGCTATTAATGATTTGGACTTTTTCTTTTTTAACCCTTCATTGTATTACCAGAGGGTCTTTAAACATAGCCAATTGTAGATTTACAAATAGCAGAAATAGCCAAGTGATTTATGGCCTGAATTATTATCCCATGGTAAAGAGATCCCATGTGAATTTGACTTTTACCTATTAATTAACTAATTTAAATTATAGACTATCTTTTTCTACAAGACAGCTATGTAATGATCTGTTTTATTTTTAGATAATTGGTTCTGATTTTATAAACTGGACTATAGTTTCCATATCCAGTACTATGTTATGTACATCGTGTGTATTTAAGAAGGTATTTTGGTATGGTGTAGTTGGAGTACCCTTTATTTCTAAATTTATTTAAAAGTCAAATTTTCCCCAAGAAATAGAAGAAAAGCTACTGGAAAATGCTTATGTTTTGCCAGTATCATCTGTTCAGAGTGGAGAGCTTCAGTTTGGATACAGTAAACTTATTGCTTTGAAGCTTGTAGCATATAATTTCTGCCTTTGTTTTTAGAACCAGCAACTTTGTTGGTTTCAGGATGGGATTTGGACTTTTTCTCTTTTCTTTCCTAGGCCCAGCAGTGAGAAACTTTCACAGTCTGTAATAGATGGTGTGACTGTTATTGGAGGACAATTCCATGGTACGTAGTTTATCCTGAATCATAAGTTAGTCTCTAGGAAACTTATTTAACATTACAAAAGTAAAATATATTTATTTAGGACAGTTTGAAAAAATAGAACAAAAAATGTTCTAAAAAATGCCCTCTCTGGTCAAATTTACAGAAAGAAAGTTAAATAAAAATGATTCTTTTGGGGAAAAAAAAAAAGAACTCCTAGATATAAAATACTAATACTAACTTTTAAAATAATATTCCATTGTTTCTAGGTGAGCATATTTTGTTTTACCTATGAAAATAACATAGAAGATCATCGGTCAGAAACACTGTTCTGATACAACTTTAGTAATGCTAAATTTCCTGAAGAAAAACCTTTAAGTTACTTCAAGATGTTCATTTTGGGGAGCTTTTGTCAATTTTAGGTATATCTTAGTGGCCAGTCGCCTATGGAATCAACTGTCACCTGTAAAATAGTGATGGACCTATATGTAATCAGGGTTTTAGGTTTTGACAGGTGGGTCTTTCTGTTTTTATCAAGGGTGAGAGAATTAAATGCAACAACCTAGAGGCTAGGATCCTTTTCTCCTATAGGTTGTGCCTGTTCTGAAGGCAATGAGTTTTTTGTACTTTATGGTGTCTATTTTCCTGGTGTAAGCTATTTTTCATTTAAAAAAAAAAATCCTCTTGACCTTTGAAACTTTTCTGGCTCCTGCTGTGCTCCCTCCTTCACAATTTCCTTGGCCTCTTCTAAGGGCTCCCTTAGCTTACCTTATCTGTTTGCTTCTAGTCATTCCTCAGCCAACTACTGGTCAGTCTTTGCCTTTGCCTCTCCAGTCAACTGTCTCTTCCCACACTTACCTGAAATCTGATTGCCACCTTCTGGAATGGTTAAGCTGTGGGGACCTGTGGACCTATTGACACAGTGTAGTGTTACTTGTACAAGCAGCACTTTTGTAGGGGGTGCATAGCTTTTGTAAGATAGTCAAAAGGATCTATGATCCAAAATAACTAAGTATTTTTTTTTTTTTTTGGTGAGAAATTTTTGCTATAGGATGTGTGCACTCACTGGAGAAACAGAGAGACAAAGACAGAGAGACAGAAAGCAAGGAATCACCCTCCCCAAGGAGGAGGCCATGCTGCAATCCTTTCTTCTGTATTCTCCTCATGGGATCCTGGGCACGCAAGCACACATCCCTGGCATGAGTTTTTAAGCCACTGGGTCTGGGACTTGAATGGCGGTTGACTACATGGGAGTCCAGTGACCTAACCAGTATACCATCTGCTAGTCCTAGAATTTATGTTTTAAAGTTTTCATTTCAGTTGACATCTTTGGAGCTCTTTACAGTGTTCAGACCCTTGTGCCTTAAGCTTCTGCTCACTTAACCACTATTCCTTATTGGTCTTCTCTGTTGGGTACTTATCGTTTGTTTTTTTTTTTTTTAATTTTTAAAATTTATTTATTTTAATTTGACTGGAGACAGAGAGAGGGAGATAGGGAGAGAGAGGAGGGAAAGTGAGAAAGCAAGAGAGAGAGAGAGAGAGAGAGAGAGAAGGGAGGGGGAGGGGAAGTGAGAAAGCAGGCCACCGGTCCAGAACTTGAACCATGGTCAGCCATGTGGGAGTGTCCAGCACCTTAACCACTGGCCCCCTCATCTGTCTTTTGACCTGGGCACTCTTTTGTTCCAGTGACCTTTTACTCATTCATTATGTCATCAAACATTTTTGAGTCTCTGCTCTGTACAACCCTCCTGTAGTCTACTTCATTATCACTACCTGCAGGAAGAAACATCTCATACCAGGATGTGCATGTGTGCTTGTGGGTATAACTGAAACAATAGTTTCGGTAAACAATACCCATGCTACATGATGTACACTCAGCTGTTTAAAATGGACAAACACTGGTTGTGTTCCACTAAGTAAATTGTGTGATCTGTTGACAAGCTCTGGCCTGTAGTTTGTAAAGCACTGTCTGAGAGATGCTGTTACTTAGGTGGCCTGTCCTGTCTTGGATTCACACTGCCCAAAATTGTTCTTTCCACCATCGCCAGGACGGTTGACCTTTTTGGCATTCTTAGTCTTCCCTCTAGAAATATAATTCTAGAGTTTTAGTCTGGACAGACTTGACAGTGATTTTTTTTTAAAGCCTTTCCTTATTTTCTCTCTTTCACTTAGTATATTCTAGGATATGAAAGAAGGTTGATGTAGCTGTAGTATAGGCAGGTTGGGGGAACGCTAGTGGGAGATAAGGTTACAGAGCAAGGGCCAAGGCACTATAAACCTTATTGGTCATGGCAAAGAATTAGGTTGTATTCCAGATGCATTAGGACTTCTTTGAAGGATTTTATGCAAGAGAATATGATCACCCCTTACTCATTTAAGTTAGTCAATCAGGTTATTGAGTAAAGAAGGCCAAATAAGGTTGTAAGAAAGGAAAGGAGAGAACAGATTCCGCTGCAGTGGTATGCCCTGCTAAGATGCTGCTCCTTGGAAGCTGAGGCCACATGGGAGTCCAGGGTTCCCAGCCCGTTGTAAACAGGCCATCTGCTGTGGTGCACATTGTCCAAGGTACAAGGAGTAAGGGGCAGGGGTATTAGGGGGATTGCAACATAGTAAGGCCCTGTCCAAATTCTCTCTCTCATTTAATTAAAAAAAAAAAGGAAGAAAGAAAAGAAACCATCTAGACCACACATGTATGTGCAGTAGTTCTTGAAAGATGGCGGTTACTGAGAGAAGTGGAAAAATTAAAGTTACTATTGAATTCAGAGGATTTTGTGATACGTGGGGACAACAGAGCTGTGAAGAACAGCTTCCAGATTTCTAGGTTGTTTTTTTAATGGTTGATCCTTTTTATTGATTGTGTATAATCATTGTTTAGTGTGTGTTTTGTAATTTTAATATTGGTGATAAAAATCCTTTTCTTACCATGTGTTTTGGTTTTCTTCTCTTTAGACACTCTAGCTTCCCCACCTCCTCTCATCTAATTCCTATCCCAGAACCAAGGTTGCCTTCATAAACTGATTTTCAAGTGTAACTGCAGAGCTCAAGGACTTAAAATGACTCTTTGTTTCCAGTCCAAACTCTTGTTAGTTTGAGATCCATTGGCAGATTTAGTCACTGAATATTTATGTATTGGATTCTGATCCATTATGCCATTCAGTTCTTTTTTTTTCTTGGTCATGATGCTTGTGTGTTTGGCTGCGTTTGACTGTAAGCTGTGTTTTCTTGGCAAATTATTTGTGGGGCAATTTGGGGATTGATAATGGAAGGTCTGTTCCTCTGGCAAAGCTCAGTGATTCCTTCTCAGTAGCTGTGGCTACTACCTGTCTGGGTCCTCTTTAAATTCATTCATGACAGGATTCTTTTGAACTTCTGTGGTTAAGTGCATTTGGGCTAGAAATCCGTGCAAGGGCCTGTGTTTGTGGTGACAGCTCTTAAGGGAGGGGTTTTCCCCTCTGTACTGCTTGGTGCCAAGACAGCTGTCCTAGGAGTAGGGACTTGTGGTGATTCATTTCTGACTCAGTATTTGCTGAGAAGCCCACACCGTATGTGGGCTTCTGAGTTCCAACTTTGAAGACCTTGTCTTCTGCCGAGTTCCCCCTTAGACCAGCATGAACCATTTTGCTCTGAAAAACCGCAGCTCAATTTCTAGTTGAATTTCTAGAGTAAAGGAATGCCCTCAGAATCAAACTGTTTTTCCTTGTTTCTGTCTTCATCTAGATTTTGGTCTGATAATTTCTCTGTAACTTATCAGTATTACAGTTCTTTCTTCATAAATGAGATTTTTCTCTTTTATCTAGCTTTCTTGGTTTTCAGGAAGATGCTTCTTCTGAATTATGTATTTTGCAATGGTACTGGAAAAAAAACCTCAATTATTACTTTCCTATATTGCTTTATATTTATATTGTTATGTATCTATACTAGGTAAGTTTTTTTTTTTTTTGGAGAGTTTTTTTTTTTGCTATAGGGTGCATGCGCTCGCCAGACAGACAGAGACAGAGAGATAGAAAGTGAGAAATCACCCCCCAGGGGAGATGGCCACGCCACAATCCCTTCTCCTCCATTCTCCTCTCGGGATCTTGGGCACGCACGCACACGCGCCCAGCAGGAGTTTTAAGCCACCGGGTCCGGGACGCAAACTGCGGTCGACTACGTGGGAGTTCAGTGACATAGCCATTACGCTAACTGCTGGTTCCCGAAACTTAGTGTTTTTTTTAAGAGTTTTCTTTTTTTTAAATTGTCAGGGGGCATATGCTTGTCCGAGGGAGAGAAGCAGGGGAAGAGAGAGGCAGAAAGCCCCTGCAGTGGGGCTTGGTCACACCATAATCCATTCTCCTCCATCTCTCTCTCTCCCCTTGAGATTTTGGGCACACATGCACACACAGCTCGTGTGTTTTTCAAGCCGCCGTGTCTGAAATTGAACTGCATGGTCAGCCATGTCAGACCCAGCTCCATTAACCACTAGGCTACTGGGCCTGCCTGAGAGGTCTCTTGTAAAAGAGGACTTGACACCTTTAAATTCCTACAGTGTGAATGCATGTAAATATTTTTCTTTATTAAGAGATGTGGTGAATTGTTTTTATATTCCTGTGACAGATTATGGCTTTTTTAAAAAAACCCCGCTGCACTACATGGTATACTGTCGAAATACTGGTGGTCAATATGGAAAGGCAACCATAGAAGGTTACTACCAGAAGCTCTCTAAGGCTTTTGTGGAACTTACCAGACAGGTAAAAAATCTCTTGAACATGGCTAGAATTTAAAGAAAATAACATGATCAGTTGAACAGTTTCTTTTAGTTGTCTCTCCTCCTCCCTTCCCCCTTGTGTTTTCTCTTAGGACTCTCTATGTTCTAGTCTGTGTACCTTGCTGACTATATAATGACATTTACTATGCAAGGCATGTAGTAATTCTGAGAGCAGTAATTATGGGAGAAAATGTGGTATTCGTAGGTGTGGTTACCATAGTACTCATTCAAATGAATTTGGTCTTAGAATGAACATACGTGCTATTGACTTTGTACTTCAAAAGGCCATTTGCAAGAGATTTTCTTCTAGGTATATTGGCTCGTTAAACATGGAGAGATGGGAGGCATATTATTTATTCAATAAATAAATACTGAGTGTATTTGCTGGGAACAGTTAACCGAAACAGAGCCCTTGTTCTCATAGAACTTTTATTTGGAAGTGACAACAGGTAGGAGAGGAGACTATTAAAAAAAAAAAAGAAAAATACCTGCCTAGAGATATCATATTCTGTGAAGGGAATGGCAGGTATTGTTACTGCTTTTTTAAAGGGACCTACTTGTTGAGGCTCAGTTCTAAAAAAGGCTCTATTTCCATAAGTTGTTCAGTTGGTGAAACTGTTCCAGTGTCCAAAGTGCTTTTAAGTTTGACTTTTGATGTTTTACAATTTTTATCTGAATGTATATTTGTTTCCTGGGTTAAGACAGATAATGAAAATAATGTAAGGTGTTCACATATCCATATATATGTTTAGTGTTTCACTTTAGAACTGAAAATTTTTCTTCCATATGTCTCATTTCTTTGAAGGCTTCCTGCAGCGGAGATGGATATAGGTCACTTAAGGTCGACTGTGCAAATGGCATAGGGGCCTTGAAGCTAAGAGAAATGGAACACTACTTCTCACAGGGCCTATCTGTTCAGCTGTTCAATGATGGGACCACAGGGAAACTCAATCATTTATGTGGGGCTGACTTTGTGAAGAGTAATCAGCAACCCCCACAGGGTATGTTGTTCTAACAGTGTAGAAATTTGTTTTCAGAACTTCTTGGAGCCATTTCATTTATGAGCTGAGGTGGCTAAGTGAATTAGGAATCATGCAGCTGGTTCTGGCTCTGCCACTTAGTGGTGGTTAGGTATCTTCTTGCTCTTCAGAAAATGTCTGTTCTCATATGGCTTCACTTTACTGCAGTTGAACAGCTGCCATCCTATTTTGATAGGACATGTATTCTAGAATACTACAAACTTTTTCTAGTTACCTCATTCTATCTCACTGGAATAAGCACTTCACATGTCAGGGTAATCAACCATTTTGAGCACCTTTTCAGTGAATTGCTTGTTTAGGCATTTATTGACAATTCAGTGCTGTGCAACTCACTTACCCATTCACTAAATAATGAACTATTACTTCTCGTGGCACTGGGGCTACAGGTGAACACCGCCATGGGCCTTAATTCACTGAAGTTTGCATTGTGTCCTCACTGCAGCCCGTATTCCTGACAAATACCTTTCATTTTCAGTTGCTTTGTGTTGGATTTGTCACTATGCTGCTGTCAGGACTAAGTAACAGCCAAGTTTTCTAATATATTTGAGGTGACAACTGCTGAGATTTCAGTAAATTTATATAAATTTCACAAGCCAGTATCTCTCATAGGCTATAAGGTTATAATTCTTTGCCATGAATTATAAGTGTTTCTTGTTAGTGGTATGAACATATGAAAATCACTCCCATTAGAATTAAATTATATCACATAACTCATCTATTACTGGTTTTTAAAATATTTAATTAAAAAAATTTGTTATTATTACTTAGTCTTTAATTTGACCAGAGAGAGACAGAGGGAGAAAGGGAAAGTGAGAAAGTAAGCTGCCAGGTCTGGGACTTAAACTGCGTTTAGCCATGTGGGAGTCCAGCTCCTTAACCACCACACTACCTGCTCGCCCCACTGAGATTTATTTCATATATAAAGGACATTATAGTACTAGGAAATACGTCCAGGTTTCAGAAGTTTATATAATAAACCTGTCTAGCCAAACCAGTGGGCTTATAAAATGGAATTCTATTTTTAGTATAGATTTTTAACGCTTCCTTTTCAATTTTCTGTGAAAGAATTTAGCCCATAAAAATTACCAAGAAACTGTACACTTATTAAAGTGTTGGTTTTTCTTTGGGAGGATAATGCTTACCATAAATTGAAAAGCTATAGTGGTCAGGCTATATGCAACATGTGACACCAGTTCTGATCCTGCTTCAATGAATAATTATTTCCAGGTTACCCATGTAAGAGAAAATACTAAACTTTTGTATTGAGTTTTATTCCCACTTCTTAGACTGGAGTGCATCTAAAATTATCCTGTATGCTAGGAATGGAAATGAAGTCCAATGAACGGTGCTGTTCCTTCGATGGAGATGCAGACAGAATTGTGTATTACTACTACGACACAGATGGTCACTTTCATCTCATAGATGGAGACAAGATGGCAACGTTAATTAGCGGTTTCCTCAAGGAGCTCCTTTCGGAGGTATGGGGAATGGCTACCCTCTGACACAAGACTTAGTCGTGAGAGTTCCTATCAGTCATTTAAATGTCTCTAAGGTAAAGTTTATAAAAAGTTTCTAACATTTGTGGCCAAAGAAAATACAAAAATGTAATTCTAATAATTTTAACATTATGGTACATTGGTTTTGGAAGCTGAAGGTAGTCTTCTTTATATTGGCTGTTTTATGATTGAAACTTCATGAAATTTTACTTCCCTAGTACCTGACACTTTAGCAAGAGTTCCACCCATCAGTCAAAGCCCCAAATTCTTATAGATATCATCTAAGAAATTTATACTGTAGTTATGATAAGCTTAATAATGTGAGAGAAAAGTGTTTTATATTGTTCTTTGGGAAATCACTTTCAGGCTGTAGGTATAGGTTGTAATCAGAATGAATTATTATAACCTGAAAAAGATGGACTTTAAGAATTCAGTAAATACTGGGACCAGCAGTTAGCGTAATGGCTATGTCGCTGGACTCCCATGTAGTCGACCGTGGTTTGCGTCCTGGACCCGCTGGCTTAAAACTCACGCCAGGCGCGTGTGCATGCGTGCCCAAGATCCCGAGAGGAGAATGGAGGAGAAGGGATTGTGGCGTGGCCATCCCCCCTGCGGGTGATTTCTCGCTTTCTGTCTCTGTCTGTGTCTGTGTCTGTCTGGCGAGTGCATGCACCCTATAGCAAAAACCTCTCCAAAAAAAAAAAAAAATGAATTCAATAAATACTAAAAATCCTTATCAGAAATTAAAGAGATAGTGATCAGGAGATTTTCTTCTTTAAAAAGATTCCTGGTAAGAAATTGCTTTAAATAATATAAAACATATGTTAGGCTTTGTCCTGTTATACATGTAAATGTTAGGGAACTCATTTATTGTATAAACTAACTGAACTGCTGAACTCAAGTGATAGTGTTGTTATTTAGAACTTATGTGTGCTTTTGGTACTTTTGATGACAAGTATCATTGCTTTTGTCTAGATTGGAGAAAGTTTGAATATTGGTGTTGTACAAACTGCATATGCAAATGGAAGTTCAACACGGTATCTTGAAGAAGTTATGAAGGTATTGAAACATTTTCATTTCTGATAGGGTAGTTTCTTAATTATTAGATCATAAGATTTTTCTGTAAGATAGATAAATATCCTCATAAAAGTGAATATGCTGTAGTGCATAAAACTGAGCTGTTGTCTATGTAAGAGTAAATAGAAATCAAAAATAAGAAAAATAATTGTCCCTGGTACAAAAAGGAAGAGATTTTCCTTTCTTCCTTTTGATAGAGCATTTCCTTTCGAAACTTTATAAATTCTTTTTCTGCCCCTTTTGTAATCATCGTAAATATTTTTCCCTTGTATAGTCATTGTAAATATTTTAAAGACCAAATAAGCCTGTTTTCAGCTCTTTTTCTTAAGGGCCCAGAGTCACCTCTTTCAAATATAAACACTAAAGGAAGATAGCACCCCTCTCTCCCAGTCCTGACACTTTAGGTGTCTGGCTCCAAGCTGTAACTGTCTACCTGTCTTAGATATATGAGAAGTTTTTTGTTTTTTTTTTTCCATTGTAATAATAAAGGATAAAGTCAGTTAGCTAACAGAGATGGGAGTCCAAGTTGCCATCTAAATTTAGGACAAACTATGTGTGACAAAAACTGTTGCCAAGTCCTCTTGAGGACTAGTGTTGGAGAAGAAATTATTCCTGACACTTGTTAAAATGGTAAGGCAGACTTTATCCAGGACTCTCATAATAGTACAAGGGACTACTATGATGAGGTTTCGCAGTTGGGGAGAGAGAGTGGGTTCAACTCCAAAGAGGAGAATTTGTAGCTAAGGAGTTGTATGTGTGCATGTGTGCACACGGGTGTGGTTGGAGTAGTCAGTTGATGGACAGTGTTGAGAGGATACCAAAGCGTAAAAGGGGTTATTTTGGCTAAAGTAACCTAATAAGATTCCTGGCCAGGCTGAGTAGCTATTACCTGGGGGGTGGTGGAGAATAAGGACTTTGATCAGATACAGAGGGTGATCAGATATTGAAGCAAGGGAATCAGGATAAACTGATTGAGTAGGATTTTTGCTAAAATTGGGTTCATGGAGGACATGCCCAAGGACAGGCCTACTTGTGCTGAGCTCTACCAAACTTGGTCAAGGAGACAATCTTTGTCCGTACTTATCTTTTATCTTGAAAACATGTATGGACTGGATGGATCATGTTGACTGTTGAAAAGAGGGTGAGAATTCTAACTTTGCAGTCTCTAGCAAAGTGCCTATAATGTGCTTCACGGTTTGGCTTAAGGCTTATTCAATAATAAAAGTTTTACGCTGAGGAGAGGTTGGGTTGGTAGGAGGTTTTGTTTCTAATTATCTCTTCAATGTCCACCAGATAACACTTTCATATATGTGATAGTGTTGTGGAATTTATGTTTAAGTTGAGTATTATGAATATGGAAACTGTTAATTTGATTTAGACTAACTTAAGTATTATTGTGGAGAGAGTTTTAAATGAGGGTGACTATTGTCCAGCCTATATACAGCTGGTGAGCAGGCTAAAGTTTTTGTAGTTGTGTCTGATTAAGTCATTTCAACCCCCTGTTAGAATAGATAGCATAGCCATTACTAACACTATATTTAGGTCAAGTGAAAATGGTGCTTTAGATAGAGATTGGTGCTTGTTTTTGTCAGAAGTAGCATTACGCCTGTTAGTGAAATTCCTTGTTACTTCTAGGACTAAAAAACGGAGTCCAAGGTCTATGATTTGTGTTGTGGTTATTATTAGGAATGCTTCTGGGTGGGAATTTTTTTTTTTTTTTAATACCATAGGGCATGTGCTCGTTGGGTAGAGATAGATAGGAGGGAAAATAAGAAATCACCCCCTCCCCCAGGGAGGATGACCATAACATGTATGGTCTGTGGCTGCTTTTGTGCTGAATAGCAGAATTAAGTAACTATGAGAGGCCATATCACCTACAAAGCAATTTACTGTCTAACCCCTTATAGGAGAAGCTTGCAAATCTCTGTTCTAAGTCACCCTCCACACTGTAACTAAACAGCTTTCTAAAACAGATCATGTGATCTCTCAGTCTCACCTTGCTCTTCCCTTGGCTGTGCCTTGACTCCTCCTTAGTAACACTGTTTTATGTTGGGTTGTTGGAAAATTCATGACATACTTTTTCTTTTTTTCTATGCAAAAATGTATCTTGACTTTTCCAACAACCCAGTATTTCAGTGCTTAGTCATTTTCCTCACTAGACTAAGCTGTAGGAGGTTTTGTTCCTATGCACACATGCCCAGTGTGTTTTGTGTCCCTTGGACAGTAGGTATCCAGTACATATTTGCCAACTGAGTAACTGCTGTCGTGTTTCTTTAAATGTGTGTTAAAGGTACCTGTCTCTTGCACCCAAACTGGTGTAAAACATCTGCACCACAAGGCTCAAGAATTTGACATTGGAGTTTATTTTGAAGCAAACGGGCACGGCACAGTAAGTTTTCTTAAACAACTACAGCTGACCTCAGCTAGCACTTTTCTTTATGATGGGAATTCTATATCTGGGTAGTAATAGGTAATAGTCTCTTTTATTGAAATGATTGGATGTGGTAATAAGATGACTGCTTAACAGATATATTCTTGTGTTAAGAAACTTCTTCTCTAGGGACCAGCAGTTAGCCTAATGGCTATGTCGCTGGATTCTCACGTAGTCAACCACGTTTCGAGTCCCGGACCCGGTGGCTTAAACTCACGCCGGGCGTGTGTGCGTGTGTGCCCAAGATCCTGAGAGGAGAATAGAGAAGGGATTGCGGCATGGCCATTCCCCCCTGGGGGGTGATTTCTCGCTTTCTATCTCTCTGTCTCTGTCTGGTGAGCGTACATGCCCTATAGCAAAAAATTTCTCCAAAAAAAAAAAAAAAAAAGAAACTTCTTTAGACTGTGATGCTCATTCTTTGAATGTTCAAAGATATACTAATTAATTCTCAGGACTTAGCTCATGGGTCCAGGTGTCCAGGTGTATTACAGCTGCATACTACCTGGCCCCTAATTCTTTTCAGCAGACTGTCTTTAGACTTCCTTTTCCCATCGAGAGCCAATCGAAGGAAAAAGTTCAGTAGCAGTGGTAAATTGAAAAGTTGAGAATTAAGTTATAAAAAACTGGAAATAAGTCTATAGTAGTTAATGATAAACATACAAATTTTTATTGAGAATGTACCCTAGAATTCACTATTTTAAAATGTCAATTTTAGGGCTGGCAAATGGTGTGATGATTGGGGTGCTGGACTCTCACATAGCTGCCTGCGGTTCGAGTTTCAGACCTGGTGGCTTGTTTTCTCACTTTCCTTCTCCGTCTCTCTGGTCAAATAAATCTTAAAAAAAAAAAAAAAAAAAAAACCCTATCAATCTAAAATTCACATTTTTTAAGTTTTTGCTATAGAGTGCATGTGCTTGTGAGAGAGAGAAATCACACCCACTCCACTCAGGGAGATGCCATATTGCAATCCTTTTTCTGGATTTGGGCATACACGTACATGTCTGGGACTTGAACCACAAAACTGGCCATGTTGGATCCAGTGTCTTAATCTGAATGTCACTTGCTAGCCCAGGGTCAGAGTTTTTAAAAATGTTTTTATACTTCAGCTGAATTCATAAATGGATTTGAGATGACCAATGAGATATTTGAGTGTAGCCAAATCATGTTCCTCATTAATTCAAAGTTGGCTTCTAGTGGTCATAAATACAAAGACCAAAATAATAAGCCTATAAAATGCAATTACATTACAGCTTTTGTGATCTAATGCAGGGGTTGGTAAATGACGTTTAAAGAACAGATAGTAAATATTGTAGGCATTGTAGACCATGTCTCTAAAACTATTGAGCTTTGCTGGCATACCATAAACGAATGGGTGAAGCTGTGTTCCAATAAGAATTCACAAAAATCAGGTGACCAGCCCACACCTTAATTTACCAATAATTGTGTATTTAACAAGTAGTTGAGAATAGTGTGCTACTCTTTAGTATTGGGCCCCTTAAAGATTGGTTTAAAGTGATCAGAATCTCAAGCATGATGTATACTATAATAGGACACTGTCATACGGTGAAAAGTAAATGAACCTCCTAATTTGGCCTACTTCATATCCTCAAAAAATTTAGTGTGGTAAAACTGTACTAGTTACAGATGAGTTATTTCCTTCAAAATAAAAGATAGGCTTAAGTAACCTTGTTGCACCTAACTGATTTAGCTGCCTAGGGTGAAACATAATAAACTTATTATGTGCATTTGTTTTTATAATCAGTTGTTTATGTCTTGACCTATTACATAATCTATAGAAACTTTTTTCTCCTGGTAAGATCAGTTCTGGTGTGATTTTTATTTACTTACTTATTTTTTAAATTTGCTAAAAAGCAGGTACACAGCAATGAGGACACACAGAGAGGGAAAGTAAGAAAGTACCCCCAGGGGGAATGGACACTCTTGTATTTTGGGCATGCACACACACATGCCCAGTGTTTTTTTCAAGCCGCTAGATCTGGGACTCAAACCATGCAGATCCACTTGCCTCAACCACCATGCCACTGGCTGGTCCCCAGTGTGACTTTAAATTAACTTCATACATTATTAGGCTGCCATTATCTTTCCCTCAGTTTCTCCAGATGTCATAACAGTAAAAAGTGGTTTATTTATAATGATAGTACTTTCTGCCTATTTCGTATGTTTTCACTGCAGGTACTGTTTAGTAAAGCTGTTGAAATGAAGATAAAGGAACTAGCAGAGGAATTAGAAGAAAAGAAAAGAAAAGCTGCCAAGATTCTTGAAAACATCATTGACTTGTTTAACCAGGTCAGAACTCAAAGGGTGGTGGAATCTTGGTTCTGTTACTCACATGAAGAGACTGTGCTATATAAAAAATTAAAGTGGAGAAGTCCTGGTGGCTTCCTTGCAATACTGGTATATGCAGTGAGATTTACGCTGAAATGGAACGACAGAACTTGAGTTAATTTTGGCGAAGGTACAGGATGCTATGCTTGGTTATCTAAGACACAACACTCATACCCAAGATTTGCTTATGTTAAAAGCGGCTTCTTCCATTTTGTCTCCCCATCTTGTAGGCAGCTGGTGATGCTATTTCTGACATGCTGGCGATTGAGGCAATTTTGGCTCTGAAGGGCTTGACTGTACAACAGTGGGATGCCATCTACACAGACCTTCCGAACAGACAACTCAAAGTTAAGGTGGGAGAGAGATTTAAAAATAGCTCATTTTTTGAATAGTATCTACTTAAAAATACTTCCTAGGTGTGTGTTGTTTTTCTCTATATATACACATTATTACATAGAAAATATAAGGGCTTATACTGGAAAATACCTAACTATATTTTCTCACAATTAAAAAAATTACAAAGTAACTGTTACTTAACTATTTATTATGAGTGATTATGCATCAGTTTTGCTAAAAAATATTTTATTATGGAAAATTTAAAGCAGATCTAAAAGTCACAAGAACAAAATAATGAACTGTTTTGTACCCAACTTAACAGACTTCAGCTACTACACTATGCACTGTCCATACTATTTTGAAGTATTACCTTTACATTACTCTTGGTTCTCAGTACTTCCTGGGGCTACATGCTGAAATACGAAATCTGTGGGCCCAAAGAGCATTATTTATAAACATTTATTCTGTTTTACTTCTATGCATTTTAAAAGTTTAGACTGGAAAGAAATGTAGACTACCTCTCTTCCTTGTTTAACAGTTGAAAGTAGTATCTATTGAGTTCACATATGCTACTTCCCCTAGTGAGAGACAATTTTTTAAAGGCATATCAGGTGATTGCTCACTGACTGCTATATAGGTTTATATATACTTTATATACTTATATATAGTTTATATATACTTATATACTTTACACATTCACCAACATTTACGAAAAGCAATTCGAGATACTGAAGCTAGAGCTCAAAATGCTAATTGTTCGGATGAATTTTTGGCAGATTTCGGAGATTCTTATAGCAACTCATTTATTCTCTCTCAAAACAACAAAACAAGAAAATCCTAGTTAATTTGATCAGTGACTACACTGTGTTCCAAAGTATGTCACGGATGTTTGTCACACATTATTTGCTGATAACTGATACTGTCGGTGCATGTGTTATCTTATATTTTTAGATTGAAGCAAAAGAGAGAAGAACAAATGATACATAAAATGTGTGCAATTTAAGGCACCCTATACATAATCTGGTGCTTCAGTATGTCAGCAATGTATTTCATGGTACAATAAAATGAGATCTGTTATTAAAATAGCCATAGTCTTTCGCTAGGAATTATCCTGAAGAGGTTAAGCTTCTGAAAGGGAGTATAATTTAGAAACAAATATAGAATGCTTGTACTTAGGTTGCAGACAGAAGAGTTATCAGCACCACCGATGCAGAAAGACAAGCAGTTACACCCCCAGGACTGCAGGAGGCAATCAATGACCTAGTGAAGAAGTACCAACTGTCCCGAGCTTTTGTCCGGCCCTCTGGTACAGAAGATGTTGTCCGAGTATATGCAGAAGCAGACTCACAAGTAAGCTGGGATGATTCTAGTGGGAAAAAAAAAAAATATGAAGTAAGGGCTTTATAGTATAAGGGATGGGGAAGAAACACTAGGAGAGAAAAAAATGTTGTAATAGTATTTGGAATCTCCCTAGATAATTTGTTTAAAGAGCATTTTAGGTTCATATTAAGATGTAAGATTATTTTTATCAGCAGTTACATAGTTGCACAAAATTAGATCCATTTTAAAGCTAAGGCTTATTTTCCTTTTGATTTAGACCTCCTGCAAATGTCACATTTATAATGGTGGCAGGAATAACTAAAGAATACTTAGTTTGACATGTCAATGTTAGGCACTGTGAAGTGGATTATCCTTTTTTCTTCCTTTAACATATAATTCTGTGACTATGAAAATAACCAGCATTGTAGATCATTTTTAAATCAATTGATGTAATTTGTCTTTGTCTTTAGACTCTGGATTTGCTTTTCAAAATCTTTCTTTGAGGGTCAAGACTTGTGGGCTGGATTTTTATGATTTGTCCTCTTAACATATTCTGTCTTCTCTGTCATCATAAGCTCTTGATAAAAGTGTGCAGTCAGGGCAAGAGGTGAATAGGAACTCAGAAGGAGTTATTTCCACTTAATTTATATAAAACCTGGTAGCTTTCCACAGAAGGTGAGGCTGTCTCAGAATACAGTGAATGAATAGCTCTGATGGATGAGGAGAGAACAACTGCTCTGAGGCCAGTTGTGACCACCTTGCTTTCAAGGGACTAGATTTTATTACATTTATCCAGAATTTTGGAATGATGACTAATTTTTAATCTGAATTGATTAGAAACTTACCTTATTTAGAAGGATTTTACCTATTTTCTAGTTATTCAAGGGCTTTAGAATTTGTTACTGAAAGATAAAAAAAATTTTTTTTCATTTGTTTGTGTTAGACAAAACCAGGAAGCACCTCCCCTGCCCCAGAGTTACAAGTAACAAAGTAGATGCTTTTTCCCGCTTAACCATTTATTGTCATTTTCAGGAAAGTGCAGACCATCTTGCACATGAAGTGAGCTTGGCAGTATTTCAGCTTGCTGGAGGAACTGGAGAGAGACCCTAAACAGGTTTCTGAAGATTATTTTCATCTTCCTGAGAAACTGGATTTTTTTTTGGCATGGGGGTGGTGGTAAGGGTTTTGCCATAGGGTTCTTGTGGGAGACAGAGAGGGATGGTGAGAAATCACCCCATGGGAAACATGGTCACACTGCGATCCCTTCTCTTCTTGGAATTTTGGGCACACGTGCCTGATGTGAATTTTAAGTCACTGGGTCCAGGACTCTAATAATGATGGGCCTTGTGGGAGTCCAGTGCTGTTTAACCACCACTCTACCTGTTGGCTCCACGAAACTGGATTTTTACAAAGTTTTTACTAAACTGTCACAATAATGGCAGAACTAAGACAACTACAATCATGTTTATAATGCACCTTACTGGATTTTCTAGATACGATTGTTTTTCTTAAACACTACTGGAATAATTCTTCAGAACAAGCTTACCTCCAGTTTGTCTCACTAATGTAAAATACTGGAGCTTACTATGATTTAATCATTAACTTTGCATTGTATTTGGGGAGCAATTTATGTAGACTGCTAGAATATTAAATCTTAATTACCAACTCTTTGTAAGTCTTTCTCATTGCTGTCAGCTAACCAAGATGTGGTTTTGCAGCATCTACCAAAGAGATGACTTTATACATGTTTTCCACTGCAGAACCTTCAGGACAATGTTAAGATGACTTACCGGTTCATAAACTCCATCGAGGTGAACAGGAACATTGTCTGTTCCTCCTGTATACCCAGGTGGAGGTGCTCACACTAAACATAGGAGGATGCATGGTCCAGGCTTCAGTTATTCTTCACTTCTCTTAATGAAGGTTTGTGGAAGATAAACTAATTGTAACACCTTGCCAAGCCTCTGCCAGAGAAGTGACATCACTCTTGATACCAGAACACGGTTAATAATGGAAAGAAAAATATCCCCAACCAATCTAAATTAAACCAAGGCTGAAACCAATAGAAAAAAATGTGTAGTATGTATTTTAGAGGCTTAAGACAAGTCAAGACAATAAAACAATGGATTATATATGTATATATAGATCTCTCTTAGGCACCGTAATCAATATGAGCCAACAATATTTAAACTTGATTCAGGCCACATTCAGACATTTTGTTCTTATTTACAAATATTTAAATTAAATACAACCTGAAGTGTGTTTTGTTACATACAAAAAAAAAAAAAAAAAAAAAGGAAAACAAAAAAAAAAACTATACAACTCAGAGCAATGTGTTGTTTTTAAGAATTACATTTACATTTAAGCTAAATGGAACCACTGGTGGCATTCAAGTTTTTATCACCCCTTCCAGAAAATCCTTTTCTACCATCTCTTCAATTTTTTGCCTAGCTTTGCTGGAAAATGGTTTGTGGTTCTCCAGTTTCATGTCCTTATTAGGGAAGGCATTTGAGTAGAGGATGGGGCTCCCTGAGTGTCCTCCACATCGGCTGGTGACTTTGCTGTTGAAGACCTGGCTGAGTACATTGAAGAATGGCAAGAGCTGCTCCATGCTGCGTACGGTACAGATGGTGAGCAGCAGGTGCCCCGGCTCCCAACCCAGTGTTCTCCCTGAGTTGTCTTCCTCTGGATTTTTCTACAGAAGACAAGAAGGGGATTGTTATTACCCAATAGTATAGTACACTAGAAAGATTAAAAGGATATAAACATCAGCAAAATTAAGCCCATTCATATGACAAAGAGCCCTCTGAGCCTTTTAGTGTCACATGCTAATTTTACAAAGAGAAGACTAAAACTAGTAATATTTTCCAACCATTTACTACAATATACAGGTAAGTTTGGTAAGCATGGATGATTTTGGATGGGATTAGGGAGAGTGAAATATAAAAGTTTATGTTGTGCTTTGTATCTACTCAGAAAACTCAGATTCCTGGACTCTCATGAAGTAACTAAGGACTGGATCTCAAAATAACTGTAGAAAAGAAGGAGAGGACAAAGAACTTTATATATTGTGCCATTAGTAAATCAACTAAGTCTTTTATTCAAATGGTCTAAACTTTCCATACAATGTGAACAGGGTCCACAGCAAGTAAAATCTATCAGTCTTACAGTACAGAGGAAAGAAAGGATCCTTCAGGAGATACACTGCTGTCTCTGGACTGTGCTAAATAACATAGGGAAGAAAGCTGACCCTGGAGTCAAAGAGCAGGATTAGTGTCCCAGCTATGCCATTTGCTTACTGTGTGGAATCCTTGGGCAAGACAAAGATTCCTCATTTATAAGATGGGAAAATCTATTTTGAGTAGAGAAGTCAAATGAGACTATACATAAAAATTCTGTCAACTACATGAGAAGTTTTGTGTATTGAGAGGCTAGATTAAGAAGGAGAAATGTTCACATGTTGAAATATTCACTTTGTAAGCTAAATAATGTGATTGTGTAAAAGAAAATGAAAAAAATGTAAATAAAAGCATTAAAAAGCCAACTACAAAAACAGCTACAGATATCAGCATGTCTACAGAAAGAACAAGAGAACTAAAGATGTTTGAACTCACGTAGAATCACAGACATAACAGTATACTAAAGGTAATAAAAATAAACTAAGTGAGATATAGGAAGCAGACTTACAATCTGTCTTATTTGTTGTTAGCAATTGGCGTGTGCCTTCTAAGATCAGCTGTTCCTGAGAAACTTTCATTGTTACCCAACACATTCATATCACTAGTTTCCTTAAGGGAGAAAGCTGTTGCAAAAATCCATCTTTTTCCTAGTATGGGCTTTCAAGGTTGGTTTGCTTAAGTAAAATGAGACATCTTTTAGATGTAAAATGGAAGATTCCAGGAACAAATAAAAGGCCAAACAAAAGAAAACAACAGTTGCTATTATTCAGTTTATTTCTTAGGAATTATTTAGCCTCTAATCTGGGGTATAAGAAAACATTTTCTCTTAACTATGACACTGTGAAAGCACTGTAATTGATTAGTTTTCACATCACTGACAAACAGTACTTAGTACTGGCTTTACCATACTCAATCCTCTAAATCAAAATGCAATTGAGAGGTAATCTAAGGATGTATAAAGATGGATTTACCCTGAAAGTAAATGAATATGCTTGTACCCTCTTATATAGCCAATTTCTTAAATATAAGAGAACTATGGTATAACCTTTCGTTTACACGGTTATCAAGATGTACCTTTAAGAGTTGACTAAGAAGAATGAACTTGTTTTAGTGTTTCCACTGTTCTTAACAGCACCACCTCCTCCTTCATACTAAATAAAGTCAAACATGTTTCCATACAAATGGTTTCTCCTTTGATGACACAAATCTATACTTCAAGAAACTTCCTTCCTGTTAACTTCTCTTGTACTTGTTGAAATTCAGACCTGAGTTTGTGACTCAATACTTGGTCCAGCAAGAGCTGTCATAGCAGCCAAGCATCAAAAGCTGCCATAGCATGCCAAGCATCAAACAACCACCCTCACCTGATGTTTGGCCATCTCCAATCCATCCAAAATCACTGTCTTAAAGTCCTCCTCCTCGTCCTGTGGAAGGAAAGAGGAGAACTCACAGCCTTTGTTCCAGTGAAAAGTATGGTTGGCCATGAAAACCTTGTCAAGTGATTTGGATGGGAAGATGCTGTCCAATCAGAATAGTTTTCTGTGGGAAAAGCTCTGAACAACAGATTGTCATATCTATCCTTTAGATAAGGAAGGAGTCTCGTAAAAATCCTCATTACTAATGAGAAATAGGGGTTGCAGAAGAACATGTGCCTGGGGTCGCGTTATATATAATCTACATTTCTTCTGGATCTGTTAGGATTATTTTCCAAACCCTGTGATACCAAAAGTGAAGGTACCTAAGTCCTATCCTAAACTCTGGACCCAACTCTCATCTTCATCTGTATTTTTTAAATGTAGGTCTTAGAGAAACAACTATCAATAGAACTTTACAAGTTCTTCATGTCTTTCAAGTAAAACCTTTCAAATTGCTTTCCTCCATTCCATTTCCATGAGTATGGAGAATTGAGTTTAAGAGGGTCAACCTTATTAGGAGAGTCCAGAAGACTAGAAAATGTCTGAGCACTCAAAGCACAAACTGCAAACTAGTAGCTCCCAAAACAACCTAGATCATCCCAAAATTGTACAATTTATAGTTGAAATGTTTTGATTGCAAAATGAAAAATGGTGAAAGATGAATAACAAACACTCAAGGATGGGCATGCCAATTTCATTACTGTTCTTTTCTCAAGCAAAGATTTGTAATACATGATGTATGTTGGAAGATACAAAGTACATATGACACGATATAAACATATCTGACAAGATTATCTTCCTGTGTCTTACAGTGTGTGTGTGTGTGTGTGTGTGTGTGTGTGTGTGTGTATTAATTTCCCACTTTTCTCCTTGAAAAATTTCTCTTAAGTAGATGATTTATACTTTTGAGTCACTTTACTTCCTTTGTAATACAAATGACATAATTTTGATCAGTGTTTTTAAAACTGCAGAGGTCATGAAATTGAATTTACTTAATTATTTTATTTTAGATTTTTGCCATAGGACACATGCACTTGCCAGAGAGACAGCGAGAGACAGAAAGTGAGAAATTACCCCTCCAGGAGGCATGGCCACGCCACAATCCCTTCTCTATTCTCCTCTCAGGATTTTGGGCAAGCATGTACACATACATGCTCAGTGTGAATTTTACACTGCGAGTCCAGGACTCGAACTGTAGTCAATTATGTGAGAGTCCAGCAATGTAACCATTGCATACTGCTGGTCCCAGGGTGTAATTGAAATTTTAAATGGAACATAATCACCATCAACAGTAGGAACTTTAGAAAGAAAATATCTGATGTGTGTTAAGAGCAAGTATTGTTTTGTGAGCTGTTACATAGCTATACTGAGTCAGGATATGTAATGTTTCTTACTGTAGGCCATAACTTACAAAGCAAAAAACACTGGCTTAGAAAATGAATTGCTAGCATACACATTTTACTTTATATGGTATATATAAATGCTAATGATTATTTCCTTCATCACTCTTATTGAAGTCCAGCTAAATCAATTTTGATGAAATAAAACCATCAATTAAAAATTTTTAATGTATATTTATTCATCCACGAACTAGTTCTGTTGAAATAAACATGAGAGATGTTTCCTGAAAATCTACTTTAGTATTACATTTTTGTCAATCAAATCATATCTTCCTATTTCTTATGTGGCATTATTATGATGGATATTATAGGTATAGGAAATTCCAAAGTTTTTGAAATGAAAAACAACTACACTGTTAAATATTTACATGCATGATTCCAATTTTTCTTTTTTGAAGGAAAAAATATTTTAAGATGCTATGATATACAAAATGCTTTTAAAAATTACAACAAATTATTTTAAAATACATACAATGTGGTTTAAAAATGTCTGTGAGTATTGGGCTCATGGACATTAATTCTCAAAACTAGGGAATTATTTTCAGAATAGCTCAACTTGATAACTGCCTTCAGTTTCCCAGAAAGTATTTAATAAACATCTTACTAATGCAACATGCACTTACATAAGAAAAAAAACAAACAAAAAAATACAGTACCTTTGCTCTTTTCCGAAGAAGTTTTGCTAGTCGTACCACGTAAGGTTTAAATTCTCGTTGATGTATGCCCTGCCTTCTGACTTCCAAACCTGAATCATCTGAGGCTTCTGGAATAAAGGCCCATCGGTACCTATGTATAGAAGAATGATGTCAATCAACATCAGACTTTTGTGCCATCTAAGTTGAAGCCACCTAAGAGTAGAAAGATCACGAACCTCCACTAATAACAAAGACTCAGATGTCAGCTGTAGCACTCACTGTAAGCTCTCACCTTGGGTGTGCTTCTTGACCTGAGTCGTGTCTTCAGTAAATGCATAAAGGTACTACTATCTACCTTGAAGGATTATAAATGATACCTAAACTTGTAAAGTGATCATCACTATTTTTTTTTCATCAGCACAAAGCAACTACTCAACAAATATTTCCTTCCACATTAGTTAATAGAGAAAATTTTCTTAAAGGGAAATTGTTTTGCTTTTATCTCTGAATTGTAACAGAATCTGACAAAGACCTGATTTTCCAACATATAACTGGTCCAATGTTTCCTAGCTACACAGTAAGGAAGCAAAGAACAAAGAATTTAAGAAATGTGTATGTAGGACTCCTTTAACTTCTCTCTTGTAGTTTGTTTTGTTGGGGTTCAGGGT